TTGATACGAACTAAACACTAGGAAACATGTTAGTTTAACCAATTGATCGTTGTTTGAATTGACTTGCTTGCTAAAAGATTAGTAATAGCGATTGTGAATCTAATCATTTTAGAAATCGGTGAACATGAATAAATGAATTCGTGTATGCAATTGTCTATGCTTTTAAGGTGTAATTTAGGGATGAGCAAAAGGACCGAACCGGACCGGAACCGGGAACCGGCTTCGGCCAAAATCAAGAACCGAACCGGCCCGGCGGTTCTATCGGTTCCGGTTCTACCGGTTCTTGTCGTGTCCTCAAATGTTGGAACTGGTCCTTGAAAATAGCATTATACGTTTCCGGTTTTTGCCGGTTCTACCGGTTCCGGTTATATCGGTTCCGGTTCCTACCGGTTCCTGGTTCTAAAAATCCACAAAAATAACGTCCCGGTCCCGGCCCAACCGGTTCCATCGGGTTCCGGTTCCGGTGCTGGTTCCGGTTCCGGTACCGGTTCCGACCGGTTCCCCGGTCCATTTGCTCAACCCTAGTGTAATTTGTCTAAACCAAAGTACCTGAAGAGATTTGTCTTCATGTCAGTATATCGAGAATTGCTATTAGTTATTCATTTGAGTTTTAATAAACGTTTGTTTATTTCTTTCGTATGTTTGTAACTTATAATCAAATATTTTAAATTAATTCACTACAGTTCCCCTTGTGTTTGACACCCTTGCTTATCAAAGCTATACTATATATTCAATCGGGTTCATTGTTTGTAAGGTGTGGTTTAGATGCGATAAATTAGGAATCATAAATAAAAAACTAGTGCATTAAAAATTTCACATCACCATCACATATTTCTCCCATATTGGTGGGTTGAAGATGGTGATGTTCGTTCTTACTATCATTCTCGAAGATATTCATCCTCGTAAGTATTTTTTTTTTAATGTAATTGATTTTTCATAATTGTATTTGTATATTTAACGGGGTGTTTGGATAAAATAGTTTATAGCTTATTAGCTTATTACGGTAGAAATAAACATTTTTTGCAAAAGTGTTTGTGGTAGGAATAAACAATAAGAAAGAGAGAATGCTTATTAAAATCAGCTTATTTAGCTTATTTCTACCACAATAATTTGATTTTTAAGGATTTCTGTCAAAACACTTAAACTTAACTTATTGTGGTAGAATAAGCAGTAAGCAATAAGCACCATCTTTTTTCCTATCCAAATACGCTCTAAGTACTTTTTTGTGGATATTTAATCTTCGTAAGTTACTTTTTCTTCCAATCAATTGCTTCTTTGTAATCCTCGTAAGTCACCTTTTTTCTTACAAAATTTGTAATTCTAAGTCTATGTAAGCAAGTTTCAATCACTTAAACATATTGTAATCATTGGTTAAACAAATTAAATGGCAATGCAAATAGAAGAACGAAAAATACTTAATAAATGAAATTACTATTAGTGTTTATAAGTGTACGATTATTATGGGTTTATGATTTACGATGCCTAGTCACTATGTACGTCAAGTTTATCGACTTCATAATATAAGTTCAAAATAACTCATCATCTTAATTCATTTTTATGCCGTCTCAAAGAGTAGACAATGAAATAAAGAAACAATTTTTTTTCTTGACTTTATGGGCGCAGGGTTCCATAGGATAGCTAGGTAAACTCTAAGTTATCAAATTTTGTATTATGTCAACTTTTATATTTTTTTCTTACCTATACGAGTTAGTCTTTGTGTATATTACTAGTTACATCAATTTTTTTAGGAACAATGTTACATTATTCTCTTTATGAATCAAACGAACAAGTTTGAATATACATAGTCCTATTAGAATTTACATCATTATCTTAGAATAGTATTGTAGGTTAATGATCTATTAATGGTGAAAGCAAAATTGACATTTGGTCGTTCTATTAAAATTAAATCATTTTATTAGAATCATGTAACAAAAACAATATAGTATGCATTATGTTTTGGCAAAAGTGTCTGACTTATGCTTGATTAAGTAGACATATTCATATCTACTGTAATTATCAGTAAAAGTCAAATAATAACAATTAGCATCCCTTGTGGCATGTTTGAAGGGTCCACATACATCCGTGTTTACGAGATCCAACAAACCTTCACCCCTCTCACAAGAATCAGTGAAGGGTGAGTTTGTCATTTTTCCAAGTAAGCATGATTCGCAACTATCATTTGACTTTAGGTCAAATGATTCCAAGACTCCATCCTTTTGGAGTTGGTCTATGCGTTTCTTGCTTATATGTCCAAGACGACAATGCCATAGTGATGCTTTATCCAAGTTATTATCATTAACATAATCAATACACAATACATTATTTCCTAAGTTATCTACAACAGATGCAGTTTCATACATACCATCACAAGGTAATGCTTTAAAATAGGGATGAGCAAAAGAACCGAACCGGCCTGAACCGGCCCGAACCGAACCGAACCGGGGAACCGGATTCGGCAAAAATGAAGAACCGAACCGGCCCGGCGGTTCTACCGGTTCCGGTTATACCGGTTCCGGTTCCGGTTCTGGGTCCGGTTTTTGCTGGTTTTTCGAGTATGGAACCGGCTAAATTTTGATGTACCCAACGACTAAATTACTTTGCGTTTTATTGGTTTTTCGGGTCCGATTTTTGCCGGGTTTTCGAGTAATTCCAACGACTAATTTACTGTGCGTTTTATTGGTTTTTTATGAAGAAGTGGATGTTTAAATACTAGTAAATAATCAACATTTTAATAATAAACATTTTAATAAACGATTCAACATTGAAGCAAATTAACCATGGGTCTTTTATTTAAATTATTACAAGCAAATTAAACATGGATGTCGTCAAAATATACTTCAACATTCAACATTCAAAATACACTTTCAACATTCAAAATATAATTCCAAGTTTCACCAACAAAAAAAAAAGTCTAATATGTGGATTCCAACATTTCTTTGATATTTTGACTAATTTCCCGATCTCTTCCCCGTTAGCTTCAAGTTGTGTATAGCATCCACAATGTCTATATATAATTCAAAAGAAAAACGTTATTACTTACTAAAATATAACAAATACTAATAAGAAGTTAAAAGTAAGATGTAACAAGTATTTTTGTATTACCGATAGCGAGATCATCGTCAACTAACACATCGTGCACTTCGTCGTAGTCATATATAGGCAAGCTACTCTTTCTTAGCCAATCTTGAGTGCATATCAATGCCTCCATAATCACAATGGACAAATTAGTACGATAGTCGGTAATTACTCGACGACCATTACTGAATGTGGATTCGGATGCTACGGTGGAAATTTGCATCCCCAAAATATCTATTAATAAACAAATTAGTGTATAATACACGACACAAATTTATAAATTAAAAATTTAAATTATAGTAAAAGAAGGTCGATACCTCTTGCCATTCGAGCAACGATCGGGAACCGCACCGCATTATTTTTCCACCATGTGAGGATATCATATCCTTTGTCAAATCCGATTGGGTCCTCGTTTAAGTATCGTTGCAATTGACTTTCTGACGAAGTCGAGGGGAAACTTCCCGAAGTCATATAGCTTCCAAAGAATTCGTTTTCGTCATCAAAATTAACAACTTCTTCGGGAATTTCTTGTTGAGACGATGAGGTCATGTTTGACCTTTCCAAGTATGTCTTGAAAAACTTATCCAATTTGCATTCAATATCAATAACCTTTGCACGTGCTTTGGATTCTATCTCATCAGCGGACATCTTTTTATCTTTGTTTTTGGCTTTAAGCATTTGGGTAAAAACAACTTTCATAAACTTTGACTTGCATTGAGGATCTAACAATATGGCAAAGAAGACATAATCACTTATAGTATCATAGTCACCTCAATATTTGTCATATTTATCTTTCATATCCGGTACCATAAACATAAAATCCGGGTTGGTTTCATGTTTCCTAAGATGTTGCTCTATATCTAGGATCCCCCGGGTATACGTATGGAAGATAGGCTTTGTTGAACACGAAACTTTTTCAGTTTTCTTCTTAAACTTCTCAAGGAACTCCATCATCTTTTTAATCATCTCGAAATCTGAATGTGATGGTACCCTTCCCACAGTTTTCTGAAACATTGGATCTACAAAAAAAGAACAACAAAATCAGATTACGTTTTATTGTTGTTAGAAAAAAAAAAATCAGATTTGACACCCTTCCTTGCGGGGCTTGTAATTCATTCAATTTTTAACCAAATCAAGCGTTTTTATAGTCTAAATTCCACTACTAATCCTAATCTACATGTAGGAAAAAGATTTAGGTCAAAACAAGTTAAATTGAATGAGTTATGCACATTTGAACAACAAAAGCACATCACGTTTTATTGCTGTTAGAAAAAAAAATTCAGATTTGACACCCTTCCTTGCGAGGCTTGTAACTCATTCAATTTTTAACCAAATGAAGTGTTTTTATACTCTAAACTCAACTACAAATCCTAATATACATGTAGGAAAAAGATTCAGGTCAAAACAAGTTAAATTGAACTAGTTATGTACAATTTAATATTTGGACTGAGTGCTAAAGAAATAAATATTGCTAATTTTAGTGTTGAAATATATTTGATTAATTGATTTTATTTACCTTGATGGCTATATTCGAGAAATGCGTCTTTCACATCGTATGCTGATCTTAGCAATTCAAAGGTAGAGTTCCACCTTGTTGGAGTTTCACCACACAAAAACCTTTGACTTTCTACAGCCGCATCCTTCATGGCTTGTTTAAAGGTCTTGATCCGTTGCGGGGAGGCTCTAATGTATTTCACCGCATCTTGTAGGTTTTTTACATGATAAACTTCGTGTTTTAACCCCATTTTCACAACTAGGTTTATGATATGAGCCATACACCTAATGTGAAAATGTTTGCCATTCTCGTAAATACCCGGTAGTTCTTTCACAATGATGTTGATTGCATCGTCATTTGTCTTGGCATTATCAACGGTCATCGTTATGACATTCTTCATCCCCCACTCGTTTATGCAAATTAGCAACTCTCAGGCCATGTCTTCAGCTTTGTGAGTATCAACCTCTCTAAAGTTGACTACCCTTTTGTGCATGACAAAATCTTCGGTAATGAAGTGAGCCGTGACAACCATATAATTTATCTTTTGACACGAGGATGTCCACGTGTCGGTTGTCAAGTGGATGGCTGTTTTGGGGTTGCTCAAATGTTTGTACAACTTCTGCCTCTCCATTAAATAGAATGACACAACATCACGAGAAATTTTATGCCTTGAAGGCAATTTCACCCTACCATTGAGGGCGTTCACAAATTCTATGAATGCCTCGTTTTCAATGAATTTAAATGGTAGTTTGCTGATAGTGAAAAGGACTAGCAAGGCAAGTTGGATCCTAGTATCATCATGTTTCCATGTGTATACATGACCCTCACCATTAGGAGCTTTCGTAAATGACAACTTTTGTTGTTTGTCATCAACTTCTTTCGGTATGTTGTCTGGATTTAACTTGCACCCATTAAAATGCTTATTTATTGAAGTTGTCCCATTCCGGTTTGGATCCGCAGCTAGTAAATGTATACAATAATTACATTCGGCCCACTTTCTTTCAATTCCATCGTCCTCCTTTATCCATTCTATCTCGAAGTATTTCCAAGCAGGAGCGGTACAATTATCTCTACCCTCACCTCGTCTAGTTGGGTTAATCCGGTCCCTTAACTCTTTTTGAGTATTTTTTTTGTTTTTGGGTTTTGGTTTTGTTGGGTATTTTTCTTGTGTTCGTTTTTGTGGTGGTGGTGGTTTTTTTGTTTGTGTTGGTTTTTTTGGTTGTCTTCGTTTTTGTGGGGTTGCAAATTTTCGTTTTTTTGAAGGTTGTTGTTCTTGTGGCTCCTCTTCTTGGTTTGATTCATCACTTGGTATGACATTCCATGCCGGTGTTTCTTCTATATAATCTTCTTCTGAATCTTCTCCATAATCCTATATTCTCAAAATAAAACATATAATAAGTCATATTATGTTTAAATGCTGAAAAATAAATATTAAAAAAAAATCAGATTTGACACCCTTTCTTCCGGAGCTTGTAAGTCATTCAAATTTTAACCAAATCAAGCGTTTTTATAGTCTAAATTCAACTAAAAATCCTAATATACTTGTAGGAAAAAGATTCAGGTCTAAAAAAGTTAAATTGAATGAGTTATCCACAATTGAACAACAAAATCACATCACGTTTTATTGCTGTTAGAAAAAAAAATCAGATTTGACACCCTTCCTTGCGGGGCTTGTAACTCATTCAATTTTTAACCAAATCAAGTTTTTTTAAAGTCTAAAATCAACTACAAATCCTAATATACATGTAGGAAAAAGATTCAGGTCAAAAAAAGTTAAATTGAATGAGTTATGCACAATTGAACAACAAAATCAGATCACGTTTTATTGCTGTTAGGAAAAAAAAATCATATTTAACACCCTTCCTTGCGGGGCTTGTAACTCATTCAATTTTTAACCAAATTAAGCGTTTTTATAGTCTAAACTCAACTACAAATCCTAATATACATGTAGGAAAAAGATTCAGGTCAAAACAAGTTAAACTGAATGAGTTATCCACAATTGAACAACAAAATCAGATCACGTTTTATTGCTGTTAAAAAAAAAATCAGATTTGACACCCTTCCTTGCGGGGCTTGTAACTCACTCAATTTTTAACCAAACTAAGCGTTTTTATAGTCTAAACTCAACTACAAATCCTAATATACATGTAGGAAAAAGATTCAGGTCAAAACAAGTTAAACTGAATGAGTTATGCACAATTGAACAACAAAATCACATCACGTTTTATTGCTGTTAGAAAAAAAAATCAGATTTGACACCCTTCCTTGCGGGGCTTGTAACTCATTCAATTTTTAACCAAATCAAGTTTTTTTAAAGTCTAAAATCAACTACAAATCCTAATCTACATGTAGGAAAAAGATTCAGGTCAAAAAAAGTTAAATTGAATGAGTTATGCACAATTGAACAACAAAATCAGATCACGTTTTATTGCTGTTAGGAAAAAAAAATCATATTTAACACCCTTCCTTGCGGGGCTTGTAACTCATTCAATTTTTAACCAAATTAAGCGTTTTTATAGTCTAAACTCAACTACAAATCCTAATATACATGTAGGAAAAAGATTCAGGTCAAAACAAGTTAAACTGAATGAGTTATCCACAATTGAACAACAAAATCAGATCACGTTTTATTGCTGTTAAAAAAAAATCAGATTTGACACCCTTCCTTGCGGGGCTTGTAACTCACTCAATTTTTAACCAAACTAAGCGTTTTTATAGTCTAAACTCAACTACAAATCCTAATATACATGTAGGAAAAAGATTCAGGTCAAAACAAGTTAAACTGAATGAGTTATGCACAATTGAACAACAAAATCACATCACGTTTTATTGCTGTTAGAAAAAAAAATCAGATTTGACACCCTTCCTTGCGGGGCTTGTAACTCATTCAATTTTTAACCAAATCAAGTTTTTTTAAAGTCTAAAATCAACTACAAATCCTAATCTACATGTAGGAAAAAGATTCAGGTCAAAAAAAGTTAAATTGAATGAGTTATGCACAATTGAACAACAAAATCAGATCACGTTTTATTGCTGTTAGGAAAAAAAATCATATTTAACACCCTTCCTTGCGGGGCTTGTAACTCATTCAATTTTTAACCAAATTAAGCATTTTTATAGTCTAAACTCAACTACAAATTCTAATCTACATGTAGGAAAAAGATTCAGGTCAAAACAAGTTAAATTGAATGACTTATCAACAATTCAAAATTTGGACAGATGATCTTACTTGATCATCAAAGTCTTTTCCAATCCAATTTGCCGGATTACCATCTTCAATATTGGCATCATGAACATCCGAGTTTCGGTATCTTGATAATGGTACATTTGGTAACCCATCTAAATCCTACATTGTCAATTTTACACATTAATTATATAACAAAAGTACTAAACAAATTTGTAGTTTTGACAATCTTACATAATTACATTCATACTATAAACAATAAACTAATCTAACAAAAATCTTGCATGTATGTCTACAAAGTACATTGTTAAATGGAGCTTAAAATATGAAACATATATTATATGTACAACCTTTCATCCGTAAAGGAGTACTCCACTATGAGAGTATGATCAAAAATCAAGATCTTTTAATTAACTAGGGATAACAATGCATATATTTGGAATGGATACAACAAAAGCAAAGAAAAAAAGCTTGCATGCATGCCATTATTTGGAGAATCATTGAAGCATTGAAACAAATATTGAAATATATAATCTTAAAACATGAAATATAAATATATGCTCTTACTTGATCTTCATGGACATCCATAGTTTGAATCATTGAAGCAATTGAAGATGAAAATCAATGAAGAATTGAAGGATGATAAAGAATTGAAGATTGGTTTAAAATTGGAGATGGAAACTTGTAATCGATGGAAACTTGGAGATGAAGAATTGATTCAATTGAATGATGATGAATGAAGAGATGCCGATTGCCAATTGATGAAGATGATAGTGAGTAGGGTTTGGAAATGGGGGAGTTGGGATCGTGGCCGAGTCGATTGCGTGATTTTTTTTTGTGTTACGTGAAGATAGCGAGTTGCGACAATGCGACTAGAAGGTTGCCGCATGCGTGTACAAAGAAGTTGCGACAGTAGGGATATGGGGTTTTCTAGCCGGGCCGGTTCCCAGTTTTGGGCCGGTTCCAATAGCCGGTTCTTTCCGGGTCCCGGTTCCAAATAATCACAAATTTATGGTATAGGTCTCGGCCCGACCGGTTCCATCGGGTGCCGGTTCCGGGACCGGTTCCGGCCGGTTCCCCGGTCCTTTTGCTCATCCCTGCTTTAAAATAAAGAACATTATTAAAGGAAGCATTAATCGATCCAACTTCATTATCAAATGAAAAGGTAAAACCTTGTTTATACAATGCATGAAAGGAAATAATATTTCTTGCCATTTCTGGCGAGTAACAACATTTATTCAAATCTAAACTAAACCCACCGCTTAGCGATAAAGTATAAACTCTAATCTTGGTGACATGTAAAGCTTTCATATTCCCCATGATCAAGTTTATTTTTCCATGCTCCACATTCTCACTTCTTCTTAGTCCCTACAAATCAGAACAGATATGAATACCGCAACCGGTATCAAGGACCCCAAGAGTTAGAATAGGTTGAGTTATTAGATACGATAGTGTAAATACCTGCATGGTTGGGTTTAACTTTCCCATCCTTCACATCGTGTTGGTACTTTGGGCAGTTCCACTTCGAATGTACCTTTTGCATGGAAGTAGAATCATTCAACCTTTTTTGGGTCAGCAGAAGAAGTGATGAAACCTTTCTGGGTTCCATTTGAAGATGAGCCTTCAAGGGTCTTACCCTTGGTACCCTTTGAGGGACTCTTCCTCTTCTTACCATTCCCTTTCCCGATTGCCAAGACAGGGGCGGAGTTGATAGGAGTAGGAGTAACAACCGACTTACCCTTAAGACCACTTTCCACGGTCTTTAGGAGTCCTTGAAGTCTACTGAGTGTGACCTCTTCCTTATTCATGTGATATGTCATGTGGAATTGATCATAGCACGAGGGTAAGGAGTGCAAAATGATATCTATTGCAAGCTCCTCAGGGAAGTTCACATTAATCTTCAACAGACGGTCCACAAATCTTTGCATTTTCTGCATGTGGCCCATGATGGGTTCACCATCCTTCATTCGGGTTGTTATCATGGAGGAGATGATTTCATACCTCTCTTGTTGGGCACTTGGATGGTATCTTTCCATCAAGTCTTGGTGCATTTCAAAAGGGTAGAAGTCCTCATAGGAATTTTGAAGTTCTGCTGTCATGGTGGCCAGCATGATGCATGCCACTTTGGTGGCATCCCTTTCATGTGTCTGGAAGTCAGCGATCTCCTAGGGAGTTGCAGTTGTCTCATCAATCTCTTTAAGCTCCTTATCGAGGACATATTCCTTGTCCTCGTAGCAGGTAATCATCCTGATGTTTCTGATCCATTCATTGAAGTTGGATCCATCAAAAGTGACTTTCCCACACGTGTTCATAAGGGTAAAGGAGCCATTAGGATTAGAGCCAGAAGCAACATTGTTTGAAGACATCTAAGTAAGAAGAAAGACAAGATTAGTTTAGATATTAATTTAGTCCTTAATAAAACACCCAAATGTACTATTAAGGCTAGGACCCAATCACAATATATTATACTTAGAAGAGGTATGTCGTAATCTAAGTAATAACATATTTGAAAGGTAGGTGAATGACGATTCACCAACTTCCACCAAAAACGAAATATTAATATATTAAGTTTTTAATTTGGTTCTTAGAAATTCATAGATTCTTTTAAGATTCAATGAACTTTTCAAAGGCATGTTTCAATCTTGAGTGTGCCCTCCAAGTTTTGTGACTGGGATACCGAGGATCACAAAATGAGGTGTGAAGTAACCATGCAAATTACTTGGTACCCTCAATGTTTATTACTCAATCGATGTGTTGGTTAACCACACACACTCCACCGACCTATAATAAACTTTAAGTCACCCTTTACCTACCTTGTTAAGTTCAAGTTAGTGTGCCGGTTAACCACACATGCTCCACCAACGACTTAAACAAAGTGCAAAGTGTAATTTTATGGATTAGCACCTTATTCACATTTTCCTAAAGTAACTAAGATTGGCAATTTAATTAAAACATTTAGTTACTTTATAATTATCATTATACTTTTAATGAGAATTTATAAGTTCTTATCCTACCCGTTCGGCTAACGGCTCTAAACCGATCAAGGAAGCGGTGGATGAGAGTGGACACCCATTACGTTGCCATTTTATAGGCAACAACCTTATACCCCCCTCCCCTTATAGACCGACTTCGTAAATGAGGCATACTAGCGGTAAGACGACTTGATCTTATACATATACATACATACATACATACATACATACATACATACATACATATATATATATATATATATATATATATTATTAACTTATAATATTATAAAATATAAGGATTGAATTTTAACTTTTAAAATTCTAAGGGTTGGAACTAAAGTTTTAATCATGACTTTACTTGTTCCAAAACTTGAGGGCAAGTTTTGTAAACTTTAAAAAATTTTCATTTCTTGTAACTTATGAATTAATTGAGTATTAAAAATGAAGACTTTTCATTTTTATAACTCTTGTGTTCTTTTAATGGTTTTTATTAAAGTGTGACCTTTTGTTTCCCATAACTTGAGGACAAGTTATGGACTCCATTAAAACACATAATGATCATGAATTAAACTACCAAGTAGGTTACAAACAATTCCTACGATCATCTAATCTTCATAAGTTCAAGAACATGAATATGAACATTTCAAGAATCATAAATTACTCATAAAACTTGTAATTTTTGATAATTGTCATTGTAAATGGATTAACATAAACATTACACCATCAAAAACAAGTTTTAAAACACCAAAACAGTTTAGGGTAATTTTTCTAGTCCATTTCCAGCAACAAAAGTCGAAAATCTGCTGTCAGGGCCTCCTACTCGTCGAGTGCATGAACCTACTCGACGAGTAGGATGAATTTTCACTTGGACTCATCGAGTCCCCCCATGGACTCGGCGAGTCCACTGCTCAAACAACAAGCAATTTTGATTTTTAACACATTTTTGCACAAATAACAAACAAACAAGCCTAGGCTCTGATACCATTGATGGGTTTTGATCATTCTAACACTTCCTAAGTGTACATGCAACCCTAATAAACCTTGGATCTATGTTTGTCTAAGATTCATGAAAAATTGATTTTCAAGGTTCATGATCTTATCTAGCATACATGGGGAACATTTTAACATAAATGATAGATAGAATAACATACTTTGTTGTTGATTTTGATTCCTTGAAACCTTGTGAGCCTAGCACCCCAAGTGTGATGCCTCAAATGCTTCACACAACGCCAAATGCTATGGAGTAAACTTGGAGAGATAGTATAACACTCAAAAATCGGCTCTAGTCCTCAAGTATACATGCATAGCCATTTTTGGGAGATGTCACATGGTTTATATAGTGTGTTGCATTAGGTAAAACCCTAATGTAACATGACTCTTCATTTCCACGATCCATGGATTAACTCCATGGAGCATCCTATAGGTGGAACCCAACTTGATAATCCATGGAGCCTCTTAGCCCACTATATAAGTTATGGATGATTCACAAAATCAACCCATATATTTAATTAGTTATTTTTTGATCACTCAATTAATTCTAAATTAATTCTTGATCAAACTAATTAAATAATATTATTAATATATCAAAACTTATAATATATTAATAATTTAGTTTATCCAATGCATGGTGCCATGCAACCCAAATGGACCATGCTGATCGAGTCAAGTACATACCAGAAATAGTTATGAACTTAGACACCTTATCCAACATCAAATTCATGTGATGTTGGTCTTATTATGGATCGTGGTTTAATCTGAATAATCTATTAGTGCAAACTAATTCCAACAGATATTAACATCCCCTAGTATATTCATCATCATTCTTGATAAACAAGAGTTGCATTTATCATGAGACTTGTGATCAAATGATAACCAAAATCCGATCTACTTGGATACCTGGTAATGCATTTCTCATTTTCGTATCCAAAACTATGATTTCACAAATACATTTCACCCAAACGCTTTTGGGTGTATTTGAATTAGTACGTATTATGGACAATCTAAATGGTCCAATAGATAAACTAATTCCAATAGATATTCACAATAATACATCTTATTCAAATATTTGAATCAACATTAAACTAATATTAGTGTATTGGTTCATAGATTTCATGACTTTCTTTTAACATGTTAGAATGTTCTACCTTTAAATAAGTTAGAAATATCTCATGAACAATTTCAGTTATAAGACCATGGACTAAATGATTGGAAAAGACTTGTCTTTTGATCCTATGAATAGTAGAATGGATACATATTTTTCCTTCAAGATGTGTAAAGGGATGTCGTAAACACACCATAAAGTTATTTAGGTAGGTAAAACCCTTTGCCAATTTCGATCATCATGAATTTCCTAGATCTTTGAGATTCATTGACTATATATGGCATGTTAATATCAGATTAGGTTCATCTCAAATTCAATGACGGGGTCATCGTGGATCACTGAAAAAATGGTGAACCATCCATACAAAATTACATGGTCCATATTTCAAGTTACGCTTAAGATTCGCGAGTTCCACAACATTCACTACTTATACTATCAAATTGACGTGTCGATTAAGCACATGAGATCCATCAACAAGTTATAAAGAGAATGTGCAACTTTTATGGATAACATAAGATTAACATTAAATAGATTGTGAATTAACCATGCAAACTCGCATGGGTTTTGGCTCAAGAGA